TTCAGACATACTGTACACTCAGATTCTGTACTTATTTTTGCTAGCCATAAAATACAATGCAATAAAAGCCCAATGCAATAAGTGGTGTTTTGTCACTACTGCAGTCAGGGTGGGGAGAGGTAATAAACAAATTTAAAAAAAAAAAAAAAATCACATTCACACCATATTTATTGGCTTTCATTGTGGTGATCTGATGTGGACATTGATAATTTGTTAACTATTTCTCCACAAAAATCAACTAAGAAAAGCAAACTTTCTGTCAGTAAAGTAACGTTTCACCACCCAGGGTCTGCAATTAAAACACCTTCCCACACAATTTTAAAGCAAAACCTGGAGGAGTGGAACATCCCAGCTGGGGTCATGCTGAACCCTCACTTCAACAGGTGAAACTTTGTTAACTTCGCCATCCAGTCCGGGCTCATATATCCTGTGGCCACCACAAGTTTCACAAGAGGCAGGGATACTTGGAAGACAAAGCAAAATGCAAAACCTCATTGCCCCAGTTCAGGGGCTATTGGTATTTCTCAGCCAATGGCAAAAAAAAAGATTTAAAAAAAAAAAAAAAAAAAAAAGGAAAAAAGGTAAGGGCAAATAAAACGGGCTTAGTGTACCAAGCAGCTATGCTGATGGAACATACACATTTATCATACTCATCTCCAGGACCACTTACTTGGCAAATACTGTCTCTCTCACCCAACCCATTTTCTAAGCTTTACCAAAAAGGATAAACACTGTGAAACAGAAACCAGTGATTAAAAAACCTGGAGAATTCATCTAGAAAATTACTTTTTCTATTCTTTCATTAAGGAACAGCACCAGGACATTTTTTACTTTTTATATAACTGACAAAACACTTTTATATTTCTAAGAAGAATTCTATAACACCCTTATTACTCAGAAGCCTCACTCATTTGTGCTTGGACATTTCATCACACACTTGACCCACACACCAAATACTTCCTGAGCAGAACAGAACTCCCCAGGAACCCAGAGGAGCTGCTGCCACATCAATCAGCCCTGAACTGTGCCCAGTAAGCTAAGATATATTTTCATCCTCTTGTTACTGAGTTCAGTCAGCCCTTCAGTGTTGTTCGATGTAATTTTTTAAAAAAGTTGGATTATTTTAAGAAAGCAAAAGCAACCAAAAGAATTAATGACTGTCACTGCAACAAAAAGTATAGTCTACTGGTGTCTATATAGCATTTAGAAACAGAATGCAAGGCTAAAAAGCTTCTCACTTTTTACCAGTTTGTCATAGTTTTCATGAACATTTTGAAGGACTGTTAATTTGTCTCCAAGTCACATTAAAAAAAACTGCCATTGCTAACACCAGATAAAAAGTCTAACTGTAGTGGTTGCCATTAGAAAGCATTTATTATTTGCTACTGCTGCTACCACATAATGAGACAAAGTGTGTCACCAGATATGCACATCATACTTGGGAATCAGAACTCTCTCAATAAATAATAATCTTCTAATAAATTACAGACCAGATTTGGGTCTCACGCTCACAATGAACAGGGCTTTATTAGTGAAACATGTGGGAAGTCTTGATAAAAGTTAATACTTCTGTAAGAGATGATTTTCTGATTCTTGTTAGGAAAGTCACCTTCTGTTAAAGCTTATACTCAGAGAGGTACAGGACTTCAAAAGTGTAATAAAACTAAGGATTTTTTTTTTAAACAGAACTCTAACTCCAAATGTCCTGACTAGTTGCATTTATCTAAAGATAATTATGATATTAAAACCAAACAGACCAAACATAAGAGCCAAAAGTAACATTTTAATGAAGAATTCCAGAAAACACACACAACAGAGGTTAGATGTAGAAGATGTTAAGAAAATAATATAAATTTTAATGTAAATTAAAAACCATCCTTGCCTTCTCCAGTGAAATCTTCTGCTCTGTAAAAGTGTCCACTCAACTGCCTGAATTTTTTTTATGTACCGTGAATAGTGAAAAATCAATTACTGACCAAGAAAGTGTATATATTGATATACATAAATACACACTTTAAACTAAATATATATTAAAAAAAAAAAAACTAAGTTTTTTTACACTTCATATAGTTTCCTTAATTTGTATTATATGCTGTACATTACCGGAGTCTCAATGGATTATACACATCAGTTTAGATATAACTGTGGCCTTTTCTGGACTTGTTCACATTTGTAACAAGGTGGTTCCTTAGGGAACCAGATGAGGGAGACTAAGATCGTTGTTCTGTTTTCTGTTAAAATTCTCCCTCAGTCAGTCTATAAAAATTAGATTCCATACTCATCAAGAACTTCTAAATGAGTGATCCTTCACTCATGCTACACGTTCCGTGTCTGCATGCCAAATATAGAAAAATAATAATAAAAAAACCCCAAACCTACTTGCAACCCCTTATTTACATTACAGTAGATTCAAAGTTCCTTTTCATGCAGCTGTCTGTAGCCTATGAGTTACTACTGTTCTGCATGTTCATAGCTGAGGACAGAAAAAGAACACACTTCATTAGAAAGAAGATTTTCTTTGTTTCTTTGGATAGCAAAACCTTAAAGCAGCCAGAGATTTAAAGTGCTGGAATTGGTCCCCATGAAGACAAATTAGAAAACTGAAAGCAGAGAAGATAGTCTATAAAGCATCTTAAATTGCATGCAATATATTGCATTGTTTTATGCAATATAAGTCTCACTACTGTAGATATGAGATATGTATTAATATTACTTGAATACATAGGATTGCAAAGAAACCTTTTTAAAAAAAACTGAGCAATAAGGAAATATAAAACAAATGGATCTGCCCACAATGTTTTATTTACAATACTCTCCTCTGTTCCCGCTCATCTTTCCACTGTACAGATGATTGCATGGATAAAGTTTCATAATGACAGCTTAATTCAAGTCTTAAAGCCACACAAGTTAAAAACCAAACTCTATATTCACATTTTAGAGGATAAAGCAACACAATTTTTAAATTTAAGGCAGAGCAAGGCAGAAGAGACAGGCCACCTCAGGCTATAACATATGAATCCAGATGAAAACCAGCACTAAGTTAATGAAGCACAAAAAAACAAAGTTACTAACAAGGCAGCAATGCATTCTGAAAAACAGTCCACTTTGTTAGCTTGATACTATTATGCCAAGGTTATTCCATCAAGCAAAATGTTTAGTTTTGTTTGGTGGTTTGTTCGTTTTTAAATCCAAAGCATGCCCAACTTTCTGAATAGAGCTACTGCAGTCAGATGTAGGAAACCCATAGCTGATTTCACTACTTTGATAGCAGTGGGCTTCCCCTCTTCCTCAGTTATCTCCAGCAGGGACAGCCTTGGAAAGGGTTTTCTGTTCATCAATCCAGTAAGTACCACCCAGACACTGGAAACAGGCTCCACTACATTAAAACATCAATATATTTCATCCTGATTTTCCACTAGGATGAGTCTTTTGCAAGCAAAGACAAGCTTGATCTGCCCACGTTCCATGTCAACTACACATAAGCCCATTCTCAATTGGAAACCCCATTGCGTCATTTAGCTTCTTCACATCCAAGCTTGTAAGATCCCCTCTGAGCTTTACACACCTCCTTAGCTTTCAATACACGGCAGATTTTCAACTGGTGATTTTGAAACATGGGCAGAGTTAGCTTGCCTTTGTCTGTGAAAAGCTAGGTAAATGCATTATTAGCTGAGCTTTGTCTCAAAGGCTATCCAAATTTGGTGGTCTTGTTATCAAATGGATGATTCAAAGCAGTAAGCATAAACCTGTTTTCCAAGGGTTCAAGAGAAATCAGCAATGTGCTTGATAATTGGACACAAAACAGACTGCAAGTAGCAGTGATTTTGATCAATGCCAAGCTGTACTGGATCTAGTTCAATGACTTAAGACAGAAAGAAATCAGTTGAAATTGTACTCATTTAAAACTAGGTATTTTAGATAATCAGAATGGAAAATTCATACCAAGTGTCTATTGTCAAGGCTACTGCTCGAAACGTCTAGTGCTATTTTATTCTAAAAGTGAAATACATCACAGCTGTACATGTATTATTTGTTAGATTTATTGTACTGATGACAGTAGGAAATACTCTTACTTGTTCAGTCATTTAACTAATTGCTACTGCCTTTTTTGGACCTCTTCTGAAAAGAAAAAAAAAAAATAAAGAGACACTAATTTTATTTGCTCTATTGACTCCCAAAGTGTCAGATTCAGTAAAAATTCAATTTTCCACTCTGCAGAAATCACCCCCAAAACACTGGGTTTAGGCCTTTAACGATCAAAAAGACTGATAAGGCTTTTAAAGAATCTCTTCCAATTATTTATTTTTAACATTCTCTTATTTTGTCATTCTAGTTCTAGTTAAAAACGTATCTAATATGACAAATTATTTTCCTATACCCAAAAAAACATTCACATGCATTTGGTAATCATATTTGCTGCACACAAACAAGAAACCAGCAGCTTATGAATGAGAACAGACACTTCATTTGTCCTTAGGAATTCAATTCTGAAGGATGTTTATTCACTGACATATCAGACACAGAAGAACTGACCTAGTATTTTACCTAAAATTAGTTAACAGTTTATGAAAAACTCAGTCACCCATATAAAAATCCATATGTTCATATATTCATAGAACCTTTCTCTCTCTTTACCTGTCCCAGGAAAAAATAAACAACTAAATAAAAAGCTCCAAAGAAAAACATATCTATTCCCATTCTGGTTGTTACCCAAGTCATTTGGAAAACAGGTCTCCACTGTGCCCGAAAAAGAGAGGTCGCATTATTTTAATTATCTTCATCTAGAGAAAGATAAAATAGCACAATGTCCAAGATGTGTGTGGGCTAAAACTCCACGGCAGTACCTTGCATCTGTAACACCCACTTCCTCAGACTGTTACTTCTGCACTTTTGTATATCTTTAACAGGATTATAAATGCTTTTTAGGCAGTGGCCAGGACTTCAAGAAGCCTGGATTCTTTAAGACTCACAAAAATAAGTAAGAACCCAGTCCTACCCACCTTAGATATTTCTGGCTCCACTTGTCTCTTGGGTGTCTCTTTTGACTCAGACCCTTTTGGAGTACTAGTGTTCTTAAGAGAGGGTGATTCAACTCCTTCACCTTCAAGCTGCAGATTAATACCTTCTGTGGGGGCAGGGTGATCAATACCATTTGGATTCAGATTGCAATGGATAGCTGGGAAAAAAAATATGAGAAAGAGAAAACTCTGCTTAGGAAAGAAGAACCCAGTGTTACAAACATTTATCACAAAGTACTAAGAAATGCCACATTGTAACCAGAGCCATGTCAGATCATGGCAAAAGAACTGTCTGTACCTTGACATGGATTCAGGGAGAGATATTTGAGAAATAAAGCGAGAAGCAATGCAGCACTGTATAAGGCTATTTAGTGCAGGCTACTGTGCTAAATGATGCTCTGCTGGATTCACTAGTGTCCAAGACCCTCAACTTATACCTTTTACTGGGGTGGGACAATATACCCCATGTATTCATCATTCAGCCGTATCTTTTTTTTCTTTTCTAGGCAAGCAAGTTAAAGTTTTTCTATTATCTTTTCAATTCCTACAACATTCTAGGTCCTAAACAATGTGGGGTAAGCTGTGCACAGCAAGTCAGTCTCTGCACAGAGTAATGACTTACCCAGCTGATTATCTCTCCTTCAGCGCTTTGTACCACTGCAAATGATCACCTACACCATCCTAACAAGCGAGAGGGATGTACTCTCTAGGAGCATATAATGAGGTGCGGACTAATGACAGCAGAATAAGGAAAGCAGCCAGAGGAAAATAAAACAAATGCAAATCATACCACAGAAATTCACATTTAGAACGATGGCAGCAGTTTAATCATTTTCTGTCCAAAATTTCACAGTTCCAGCACTCAGAGAGCAGTCTTAACAACCTTCTTGGCACGTGTAATAATTTTGAAGTGTGTGCACCCTGAGGCAACTTTCCCTTCATGCGACCATCAAACTTTTGCACTCGTGTTCCTGGGTAAATGGGTTACATTTAGTGCTACTCATAATTAATGGTCCCAACTTCCCCTGTATGCAAAAGAACTTTGCTCAGATACTGTGGTGCAATGTTTGACAGATCTGAATAGAAACCCAAAACACAATGTAAAACTAAAATAAAAGCTGCCCTTTTACTCTTGCTTGGTGTAGAAGCAAAGGGTGGGAAGCAGGGGAAGGAATCAGAACTGCCAGTTTCTACCAGCTATGGACCAGCCCTTGAAAGCCTCTCAGGTGAAACATGCTCCATCTGCCAGAGAAGGCAAAGGGTCCTTCAACTACAGCACCTCTTGAAAATCTATTCACCTTGAATCCCAGAGTCTTAATTGAAAACTTTGGGCCTAAATTACATCATTTCCTTGGTGCAGAATTAAAGCAGAGGCCAAAAAGTTGGCCTTTTCTCCTTGAGATTTTTAAAAACATCCAAATATTAGTAAAAGATAAGTAATCTGTCCAAGCACTACAATATCTACATCTGCCAGCTAGGGATGGAAACACCTCGTTTTCAAGTCAAAGGAACATTATGAAGGATAATTCGTTAACAACAGTGAGTGATGGAAATCAGTAAAGAATTGCAACATGCTTTATTACAAATTGCAGCCATTTTGTACAGAAGAATAGAAAAATATGTCACTAGCCCACAGTAAATGAAACTAAGAACAGGAAAGGAACTAAACTTCAGTCTCACTGTGAGTAGCTGTAGGGGATTAGTCCTGGACTTCTTTTACAAGTATGTAAAAGAGACAGAGATCCCTCTCCAAATAGTCAATTCTTCAGCAGACAGCACAAGAGAAAGAGGAGGCAGCATCACTACACTACAGCATGTCCAGAGCTGAGCCCTGCAGAGACGTCCTTCTGGAGAAGGCAACAGAAGAGGTAAATGATGCAGAGCTGCTGAAGGTGAGCCAGGATTTCTACTGGCCACCCCAGGAGAAGGATTTCCAGCTAAAAATCCCTTTCTCAAAAGGGATCATCCATCTGCTTAGGCCTTGCATAAAAAGTTGTAGTTTTGCTTTAAAAGCACTGAAAACCCTCTGAAGTTTTGGGGAACTCCTGGGTTTCCCCTTCAGGCACCAGTTTCTCAAAAACAAGACATGTTTGATTTTAATAGGTAAAAAATCCCATTAGGAAAAGGAGTCTGCAGCAGTCTGTGTGGCTGTTGTTCTCATCTGTCATCTTTCTGACTCATTTTAGTAGGGCAGGCATCTTCAATTTCTACCTGATACCTAGAGAGCTAAAACTGCATTTCCCAAACCAGCTCTAAGTTGCTTTTCCCTAAAAATCTAGCTGCAGTTCTTGCAAGTCTTTCTCCCTTGGTTCAAACCAGTTCTGTAGGCTGGCTGAAGGCAATGCAAAACCAAATCCCATCGTTCTAGCATTGCCTCTCACCATTGAGGAGGGAAAAATAGACGATTGTCTTCAAATCACTCCCTTATTCCTACTGGTTTTCCCAGTCACACCACTGATTAAATCCAAAACATAAGTACTTAAGCCTTAATAATATTAGCAGAGGCATTTCCTAACTTTTGAGTCCTTTATTTCTAGATGCACTCCATACCTACCTCTTCCTGGATTTTGCTTTCATCATGGCTACAAGACTGTGATGGAACTGAACTTGAACACAGCTGCTGCTTGATTTTTCCCTTGCAGGACCTCTGTGTCAGAGAAAATGCAAAATCCTTTTTACATCTGCAGTGAAGCTAACATCCTCTGGCTGTATCACCATTATGGGGAGTTATCCAGAACCCGCCAAGCTGTTATGATGAAGGGAGTCTTTGGGGCTTTTTAAGCTCCCACGGGAGGTTTCAGAGAGATGATTTTGTGGTTTATATTTACATCAATGTGCTTTAAGACACAAAAAAATTCTCTCTCTCTCTCCTAGATCATACCCACCTATCGTTATCTATCTCCTCTAGATTGTATTTACCTACCTGAAAGAAACAAATAATTACTAATGACTACTTTGCTTAACCCCCAGACCACAGAAGAGATGGATGTGATCCAACGAGACAGACTTTTTCACAGCCCAATGAGGATGAAAACTGTTCTGTTAGTAACCAAGCTAATTCCCTCCTTCATAAAAAATGAGAAATGTCCTAACCAACATGTAAAAGTACCCCCAGCACACCCTGCTCTAGCAAGGACTAGAAATCAGCAGTGCAAGACACTTGGTATAGAATGTGTTCCATAAAAATCCCTCCAGCTGTCTTCTGCAAGGATGCTGAATAAGAGCCCCGCGTACACCTTTGAAACACTAACACACTTCAGCACCACCCAGAAACAGGCAGTTTTTGGCTGTCAGCCCCCTTCCAGTGCTTGCTAGAGAGAAATCACAATGCACAGTGGGACTTAACACTGCCTGGAAGAATACTGCCAGTAGCAAGCTTCCTGTGGATTGCAACTCCTTCCTTCCCAGTGCCCCTAAACAATACAGATTAGGGTGGAGGGTGGTAAGGAATGGACAAGGAAAGCCTTCTGGGTTACAGTATTGATTTACCATGCATTACAGGGAGCAAGTGATCAGATTTCTGATAACATGGTAGCACAAGCATCACCTGGATGGCTTAAAAAAGAAATAAATCACACGGCAATATGCTGCTTGACTCTTAGCCCATCTTTTTTTCAAGAGTAATGAATGTTAGTGCTGTTTCAGCATTGCTTTATGTTGGGCTCCTTCAGGATACAAAAGAGAGAAAAAATTGGAGAGGCTGCTAGCAATTACATACATGCCCATTACCTTTTTTACTGAAGAAGAGGTGGCTGGTTAAAAGAAACACAGGCTGCCTCGGGAAAGACTTTTCCAAAGTTGCTGATATTGGAGGGGTGAGGAAAAGACATTTTTTTTTATTTCCTAGGGATAGGAAGAGAAGGAAAGAGTTCATCTCTCTCCTCCACCCCCATCACAGACTCGGCTTACCATACACCTGGACTGAATCTGTTCCTTATGGAAGACACATCTTCAACAAGAGCCTCAAGTAGGGAGAGAAGACAGACTGAATGGCAGGAGGAAAAAAAGCAGAGGTAGAGGTATCTCAGTCACTTGGCAAAGCTAATCTCTCTGTCATGAACCATCTTCAGGTAGCCAGCTCCACTGTTTTCCTCTAGTGCTGCGTCCAACTTTCAACTACAGAGAGGGTAAGAAGGAAAGAATATTTCCTTGCATGGGTTTGTTATTTCCTGTTACCATACATATATTCATCTCTGTGGCAAACAGAGGGAGAGCTCTTGCTTCTTTTAAAATGTCAATACAAAGCATAACTGCTCCCTTTCAAGATTTGTTAAGAGCAGGGAAAGAGGTCAATGTTTGGTCAATAACAACATATTCTGTTCTTAAATCAGCACCAATAATTTTATCCAGATAAGGGCAGCTCTAAACTCAGGATCAACCATGCAAAACTAAATGGGCTAGGGGGCTGACAGCACCCACAGTTAACGTCCTGTAGAACTGAGTCTAAGCAGCTCTTACAAAAGAATCACAAATCAACTTTACCACAACCCAACTGCTCTGACCCTCTTAACTGACTCTTTTTAAATCACTTTCAGGACTTAATGGCATTCATCTGGAAAAGATTCTACCTACAAAGTAGTTTTTTGCTAAACTACTTGTCCAGGCTCTTACTTCTCATTACTCCAGTATTAGCTAATGCTAGCTCACCCCACCCTCTGCACTCAGACCATTTTCTCACACCCCTGCTTTGACGATATCCCTGCTGTCTTAGCACCTCTTCACTCTACCAAATTCAATCCACCTAACCATTCCCAGACTTTCAAAGTCCATCAAGACACCAAACCCTATCTCCAAGCCAGCTGATAGTATCAGCCTAATATCACTAGGTATGAGCAGTATCATTAGATTTTGAAACAGAACCTCTTCCAATATTCTTCCATACAATCTCAATATTCGTATATCATCCATGTGTCTCAGTAATACAACTCCTCATCCAGTTTCAGAGCACTTACATTCTCCTTTACCTGCTGAAAATCCCACCTAACAGTTGATGAATGTTGTGTCTCTCCGTGCACCCCAACAATGGTCACTTAACTTGGATTGAGAGCTTTCTGTGGCGGGAAATCATTTTCTTTTGGGGAGGGAGGGTGGATGTTCTGTACAGTCCTGACTCCACAGCAACAAGCACACAATTAATGGTGCTGGCAGACACAATAAC